TTCCAGGATCACATGGAAAGGAGTATTTTCCCACGCCGTTTTCTGACTTCCGCGCGAGGATGCCCGCGCGACCTGGTTCACCGGCCACGGGGAGACGCCAATCGAGTTAAAAAAATACAAATTGTAGTTCGAAGGATGACTAATAAATGAGTTATAACATATTTGCCCTCCCTGAGTGATTTATTGCTTAAAAAAATTAACGAAAATGCCTTACTTTTTGGACGTTCAAAGTGTACTACCCCCTTAAAATAGAGTCATAAAAACATTTTTGATATTTTTTTTATTTGTTGATATGTTGTAAGGGACTAAAAATGCAATGGAGCAATGATGGACAAAAAAGTTCTGATTTAAAAGAAACTCAAGGTTTTGGAAAAATATGCAAAATTTGGTCCAATTACTATTTCAACTTTAAATAATGAAAGTACACCATATTTATAATAATAAAAAAACACCGAAGTAAAATTTTGCTAAGTCGCACCGTTTTCGAGATGTAGCGGTTTGAAGGTAGATAGGCTATATCCAGCTGAACAACGGCTATATCAGTGTTTGCAAGTTCTGATGAGGCCCGTAAAAAGGCGAAATAATGTTCCTATATGGTTACTTGGGTAGTTTGATGCAATAAGACCCGGAACGGGACTTGACAATCGAGCTTCTCACTCTTCTTAATGTTTTTGGAGAATGCCCTTCGGAAAGTTCTGCGTGGTGTTTGACGGAGTTGACCAATGATGCCAGGAATGTAGATTTTTTTTATTATTTGAATTTTATTCGAAGTTTTTACCGAAGTTTAGCAGCTTGTACATCATTTCTTCTCAACACAATAAAAACAGCCATAAACAAACAACAATATCCATCGCTTAAAACACGCAGAGCACTCAATTTTTCCACTTTCCTTTCGCAAATATCGAGATAGAGCTGGAATTAGGGCCTAACAGCTTTTGTAAACAATGACTTCAATCGATGATTTCTAGAAACTCAAGGCTCGCCCACGCAAACCAACCTCCTCATCGGGTAGGGAAAGACTTTCCCTATTCGATGGTTATGTTGGTCTGCGTGGGCGTGCCTTCAGTTCCTAGAAATCATCGATAGAAGTCATTGTTTACAAAAGTTGTTACACCCTAATTCCAGCTCTATCTAGATATTATCAATTAACATCGCCACTGACGTCAACATTGATTCCGGCATCACTGCCAGATTGACGCGATCCCTCTGTCCTTTTGATTCCACAATTGCTACTGTCAAATCGACCAATAAGAAACTGGCTCGGATTTTACAGCAAATTGGCTCGAAATCGCTACCCGATCGTCAAGTCCCGTCCCAGAATAAGACCACTGAAAATCGCATGCGTTTCGCAGAACATAAAAAAAAAATTCAAAAAGAGGGCTGACAGAATCGGGTCTTACGTATCCTGAAATTTTACATAGGTTTAGCCTATAAATCCTATAAATCCAACTTCTTGACTTCGACTCCGACTCCAACTCCTTGACTTCGACTATAACTCCAGGGGTTAGCTACACATTCAAATGCTGAACTCCATCGTCGATGTCGTCAATTATCGATGACGGAGACTTTTATCAAGAAAATCAGCCGCCCAGAACGGGAACTTGTCACGTTGGAGGTGCTCAGCATTCTTGTGTGAGTGAGTGTTATTGATATAGTTGATATTGACAATGTTTTAACAAAGCGTTGCGAGTGCGCGGAGTTTTTGTTTTTATAATCAGTTGCTTATCTTGTCAAAATCAGGCCCAGTATATTTATAATTTCTTAGCCAGTTCACTTCATCGTCAGTTCAGTTCATCCCATCATTCGTCTCATCATTAAATCGCAGCGCTGAACCAGGCTATTGGCCATATAAAGGCTTGCCAATGCACACCAAAAATCAAGTACATCGGAACATCTTTTATCTCAAATCGAGGAAAGACATTCCGTGCAAGCTATACCACAAGCCAGACTAGTTCATGTTGGTATTCGGCAATTTGGACTTCTACATCAACACATGTCAAGCTACCTTTAGGTTCAATTGGCTAAACTTGGTTCGTTCCTTCTTGTCCATTTTTTCTCTTTTCAAACCAGATAAGATATAAGATCTATCTTCGATTTCTAGTCCTGACAACAAGGGAACACATTTTAGTCCTTGTTATTGGCTTAATTGGATACAACATGGAAAATCTCGAGATTCTGACCAGATAGAAAGTTACTGTCTTGGGCAAAGTTGTTCTAGAGATCATAAATTTTTCCCTGGTGGAGAGTAGTTGAGAATTTTCTCACTACGTAGCGCTACCGAATACATGTGAAATTATCGCATGTGATATATATCGAGATCATAACCAAATAGAAAGTTACTGTCGTCGACAAAGTTGTTTATGAGATCACTACCTTTTCGCTGGTGAACAGCAGTTCATAATTTTCACAATACGTGGCGCTAGTATATACGTGAAATTCTCATGCAAAATATTTCGAGATCCTGACCAGATAAAAAGTTACTATCTCCGGCAAAGCTGTCGCATATATGAGGATTGCACGTGGTAGCGAGACAATTCATATTGCAGCGCAGTGATAAAATTCTGAACTACTGTTCACCAGCCACAAGACCTTGACCTCCTGAACAACTTTGCCCAAGACAGTAACTTTCTATTTGGTCAGGATCTCGAGATATTTTATACGTGAAAATTTCACAGGTATACTAGCGCCGCTAGTGATTAAATTCTGAAACATTGTGCACCACAAAATAGGTTTTAACCTCCTGAACAACTTTGTTTAAGACAGTAAATTTCTCTCTGGTCAGGATCTCGAGATATATCACAGGCGAGAATTTTACATTTCACTAGCGCTACGTAGTGAGAAAATTTTAAACAACTGTCCACGAGCAAAAAGTTTGTGATATCCTGAACAACTCTGGTCAAGAACTAGAGATATTTTATACGCGAGAATCTCACATGTATACTAGCACCATGAAGTGAGTAAATTCTGAACTACTGTCCACCAGCCAAAAGACCTTGTCCTCCTGAACAACTTTATCGTAGACAGTAACTTTCTATCTGGTTAGGATCTCGAGATATATTATATGCGAGAAGTATACATGTATACTAACGCGACGTGGTGAGAAAATTCTTAACTGCTGTCTACCAGCCAAAAAGTCTTAACCCCCTAAGTAACGTTGCCCAAGACAGCAACTTTCTAGCTGATCAAGATCTCGAGCTATTGAATATCCGAAAAAGGTACGTATATACTAGCGCCTGCATAGTGAGAAAGTTCTGAACTATTGTCACCCAAAAAAAAAGATCTTGACTTCCTGAAAAACTTTGCCGAATACATTTACTTTCTATGTGGTCAGGATCTAGAAATATTTTATATGCAAGAATTTCACATGTATAGTAGCGCTGCGAAGTGAGAAAACTCTGAGTGACTGTCCACCTATGAAAAGGTCTTGATCTCCTGAACAAGTTTGCCGAAGACAGTACCTTTATATCTGGTCGGGAACTCGAGATATTTTATATGAGAATTTGGATAGAAATCTCCTTATACCTTTTGGCAAATTTATATTGCTGATTATCCATAAAATGTATAAGTCAAGTAATAAGCAGACGCATTGCAAAAAGTTAATAAAGCTCATGTGTCAAATGAAATGTATAAGCGGTCACACATACCTTTTATGCATGCTTATAGGACCTATGTGGTTTGTCTTATGGAATGTATAAAACTGATGTTTTGGAAAAAATGTATAAGTGAAACACATGAATAAAATAATTGATTTTCGTTTCGTGTAGCGTCGCGTAGTAAGCAAATTCTGAACTATTGAAAACACCAAGCAATAGGCTTTGACCTCCTGAAAACTTTGTGAAAGACAGTAACTTTCTATCTGGTCAGGATCTCGAGATATAACCAATGCGAGAATTTTACTTGTATACTAGCGCTACGTAGTGAGAAAATTCTGAACTACTGTTTGCCAGCGACAAAGATATGATCTCCTGAACAACTTTGTCGGAGACAGTAACTATCTATCTGGTCAGGATCTCGATATATCCCATGTTGTAATCAATTGAGTGGTCACAGTGTACGTGGTTTCCATTTACATTTCCCCTATTAGCCGCATTTTTTAGGTGTTTACTGTAATCAAAGTTAAGCTTGTTTAGATCAAAACATGTTTTTTGAGGAATAATCGTTGGTTTCAGATCGAAGGAAATGGAAACCCTCTTCTCTTTTCAGAAAGCGAGCCATAAAAGGCTAGGACAAGAGCTTTTGCTCATGTCCCAACCGTCAGAGGAAAATGGAGCATCACTTAACATTTCTAGCTTAGATGTTTCCAAGGACCAATAATTATATGTACCAAAACCGGAATGTTTTCTGAATCATCTTGCCCCTTAAATGCTGCACAGTAGGGCTGGGTGTTTTGGTATGTGTGGTGCACCTTCGATGGCAAGAAAAATGATGGAGGTATATCAATCATTTTCCAGGATGCTTTCATGAACTGGTTGTGTTGGTGTAATGGAAGGGCCCCACCCTCGGGAAACCACCTTCATGATCACGGTAACCCCTATGACAGTTAAGTATGGCTGTGTTGGTGTTAGATTAAATTAGATTAAATTAAATGTTGTAACAAAGCGTTGCGATCAGACTATCGGTTATTTAACTTTTTTTTAACATTATTGAAGGCACGTTCCCGAGCTATGAATATTCATCAAGTGCCTGTATAGAGTAATTGAACTAGGCACATCATTTTCTGTAAGCATACATTTTTGTTATCATGATTATCCTAAATATTATGTGGTTCCTATAATGGGTAACAATCTTTGATGCAAACTGATGCAGTCCTGATCGTGATTCATTCTGAGTGAAGTTTAAGTAAAAGTAAATATAGAAGTAATAGTGTTCTCCAAAACCAAGCTCTCGGTCTGAAAAATTTTATTTTGAAGGAAGTTAATCAACCAATATGTTTGTAAAACACGTTTCCGCTCCAACATGTTCAGTATCAGACCCATGCAAAAAATAAAAAGATTTATTACCTTTGACATTTTCTTGAATGCCTCCAGGCACTCGTTCTTATCGACACCGTAGCTTGAGTAGACGGTAGAGAATTCACCCGAATCGATGGTACCATCGTTGGAAGCGTCCTCCAGGTCGAACATGAAGTTCATGTATCTGAAAAATGGAAATAAATATCTCGTTTAAATTTCTTCCATGCTCTGCCCCTTGCTCTTCCCACTTTCGGAAAATATATTAGATTAATTAACAGCTCAGCTGTAACAATACGCTTGATATTCACACCTCTTAATCACTAACTTTTCCCTCGGGGGAGACATCTATACGGTGCCGTTCCGCTTCAAAGAAGGCACCGTCGAAACTAATTAAACATTCACCACCACCTAGCCACCGTCATAGTGTAGTCAAAATAAACAATGTGACACATTAACCCGCACTTTTGTTTGATGATGGCAGCTCCAGCTCTTTGAGGAAAGTTCATGATGGCAATAAATCGAATCAGGCGCAAAATGAATGCTGTTTACCATAGCCTTGAAATTCAATTTAGAACAGCTCAACAGGACAACATCGCAACATTTCTGGTTCCTCATTTCTGCTCCCAAGCATTACCTATGTATCTTATGGTCGACCACAGCTGTCCCACTTCTCAGTGAACACCTAAAAGGAAATTCAACTTTCATTTCTTGTTTACTGAGCCGATGAGCTGATGCCATTTCCGGTTCGAAAATATTTAAACATTATTTATGTGACACTTGCTCAACAGTCCATGACTTGAGCTGGAATCATCTCACAATTTATTACCATTCGGCTTTGTTCAACACACAAGTGGAAACTTATTTTTGGATTCACAAAAATACACAGAACAATACATTTCCTATCTGAATAGATTGTTGGTCTTGAAATAGATACATATGATTCCACTAGAAGCTAAATGATACAGAAACATAGGTGATTCAAAATATCGATTTTTCTCCACCCTACTCAATCGAATCCAAATCAGATCTTGAATAGTATTTATAGGTTGCGAAGTCGTACTGCACTGCCCCTTTGAAGTTTATATGGGAAATGCTATGGGAAAAGTGTACATTTTAGCCTTTAAGCTTACTATTTGTTGTGAAGTTCAATCAGGTACAACTTTGCTGAATACCACTTTTGAATGAAATTCAATATAAGTACTACTTAATTAATTGGAGAGATGATCAATGGACTGCATTCAAGGCAACACTGGATCTTGTACTGTGCCATAGTAGCCTGGATTTTGTTGACCTATTCTTCAGCGAAGTACACCAATGTTGCCTGCTGAGCAGTTGATGGAGCAGTTTAGATGAAAATCATCATGCTAATTAATTAATATCTAAGTATCCTGACGATCAATTAAAAACTGGTCTTCAGCAAAGTTCCTATATCTGAGTACAGATAGTAATTTTATCCATAAATCATGATGGCGCAAGTCTAGGACGTGGTGAGCAGCCATAATTACCATATCAACTCCAAATTTTGGTAGAGATCAGTACCTAATTTGGAATCGATTGAGCGAGGTGGAGAAAAATCGTTATTTTGAACCACCCTAATAGGTATGTATGTTGAGAAAATACCAACCACACTGCTTCACCCACTTGTTCCTCCTTTAATTCTACCAATTACAACTTCATAAGACAGCTTCATTTCCCTAGTGGTAGCTATTTCTAGGAAAATCTGCTGGGATGTGGCTTCATTTGGGTTTGAATCGTGAAAGCTCATCTTGTCCCGTCAGAGAGCACCGTACTCGTTATCCGAGGTTGTGAATAACCGACAGACGAAGTAGTGAGAGAAACCGTTAACATTTCTTTATGTTGATTTTATCGAGTGAAGAAGATAGCTTCTGTCTTTCCGGTTGTAGAACATGGATACACCTCTTGTTTCCGGCATGTTTCGGGCGTCTCATATAGCGAAGAACACCGTAATGTTTCCAAACTGAATTAAAACTGTTTACACGATCTGATTAAGTTTCATAGAACGCGCGAAATGCCATGCTCTGTAGTGTAATGGTTTTTCCGTTTCAACAGGAAATTGACGTTGTAACAGACTGAGGGATGAAAATGTTAGTACACACCGGTAAAGTGAAAATAAAAAAAATAAACTTCTACAACTGACGTTCGAAGCCAACGTAATACATGTCCATTAGAGTATAGTTTAGAGGGGACACTATTCACGAAATACAAAAGTAAACATTTTATTCGTCAAATTTACCCAGGTTGTAAATTTTCTCGACTTCCCTGGGCATAGAGTATTATTGTGTTTGCAACATAATATACAAATTCATGCATTTGCTTGGCTTAGAAAACTCTTAACAGAGCGGCGTCCATCTTCAAAGAGGCGAGTGGGACAAGGTACTGGGGTCTCATAGAACTGTTTTAATATTTTTGGAATCGTGTAATGGTGCCAGAGATGTATAGCTGGAACATGTACTGGTTTGTAAATGCAATGAAATTCAATGCGGCCTGAAATTAATAAAACCTATCATGTGACACATCAAATGACATGAGAATTCAAAAAATAATTCAATTGTACACAGAAATTCAAAACAACCCAAAATTAAGTTCTTTTCACTCATCTCCCATGTTCCGTACGATAAGCCAAATTTGAGTAAACCGGCTCAAAGTAGTTTGCATTTAAGCACGGCAAAAAAAATTACCCATCGCTAAGTTATTTTCAATTTTTTCTACCCAAAATTAAGTTCAATTAACTCAAATTAGAGTATATCGCATATTACTCAATTTTAGCTTCTCGTACGGAACTAGACGGTTCAGTCGAATCTTTCGTTCTATTTTTGACAACAATAGCGAGAGGAAATGAAACGGGCAGAGGTCAAATAACTCAAATTTGAGTTTAAAAAACCAAAGCGGTGGGTAGTTTTGTTTTTCTGTGTAGTAATAATCAGAGCACAGGGCTGTACTGGCCACATCCAGCCATGTACGGGGAACCGCCAGCCTCAGTTTCTAGCTATTAAGGGCCAAAGCCCATCATGCGTTTCCACCCATCATGCGTTCCCACCCAGGTTTGTTTATACTTAGGGCATGTCTCACCAGTCCCACCCACTCCTCGCACCTATGGTTCTCAATTAATAACTGTGGAAGAGCATCTAGAATACTAAGATGAGAGTCGGCAAAACGCTGTCTACAAAAGCGTAAGAGTAAGAAAAATAAGAAGAAGCAGATGAAGGGTAGCTATAAATTACCGCTTATCATAATCCCTTCAATGTGGGCATTTAATAATAGATTTAAAATCTTAACTGAATTCCAGTGGCCTTATAGCAACAATCAATACGAAACTAACGATTTTAAATTGGCTCACCACTTTAGTAGCCTATTGGTCCCAAGCAAACGATTAACGTACCCTATTCTAGTTGAAATTCTATTACTACACTATGTTTGTTTTGATTCGCTATGAAAGTTTGACAGATAACATCAGGGGTGTGTGGATTCATGCAGAACATGCAGGGGTGAGTGAAATAGCTTGGGACTGCTTGGGACCGTTGTTCTGGTACTGAGTGAGCCAAAAATAATAATGATTTTATTCGGGACCCAGTGGTCTTAGAGTTACCTCTATGCTTATAGTACGTTCAGACTAGGTTGTATATTATGTAATATAGCTTTGTTATATGGATATCACTTTGAGGTGTTCTACGGCACTACGGCAAGGTAATATAGTTTGACGTTTGCATTTCAAATGGATGTGCATGCATCAAAGTAGCCTGGAATTTACGTGATTATTTTTTTTTTACAAAAACAAACATCGGTTCCGTGTTCAATGTCAATCTGTTGAAATGAGTGATTTCCAAATATTATATACGGTTATAACCCAGTACAGAAGATACGTCCTCCCACGCTTCTAGCAGCAGATCAATTTATGGCGCAGACCAAACGTTGCGCTTTTTAGATTTTTTTCCGCTTCGAAGGACCGGGCTCTTCCATAGTAACGAGACTTGATCTGAACAAAACGTCAAACCGGAAAGGATGATCATAACAAATTTGAAATTGACATCTGACATCTAAGCATTCTGTTGTTCTCACTGAGTTCTCACTCAATCGAAGACACTACCCAAATAAACCGTGTTGCCAGTTGTAGAAGAGTTCAATTTTGAGTGATATAAAAAATGATATAATCTATATTACCCTTTGCAAGTAATATTGGATGACGTATCAGATATATGGGATATTATGTAATATAGTTGATGATATAGCCTCTATATCATGAATCACTCTATATTACGTAATATAGAGCCTAGAGCCTGAACGTACTATTAGCACAAACGAAGTGACAGACGGAGCGGCTCGAAAACTTTGGTGACTAACCTGCTATTGCAATTTTTCAGTGTACCACACGGCAACACCACTACTACTGGATTGTACCACATGGCAACACTACTACTGGATTGAACTAGCATTTTCACCAAATGTACTAGAATGTTTTGGTTCGATCTCTTTCACTCTACTCAAAACTGGAATGCATAAAAAAATGACAAAATGATACACTCCTTGCACACTGTCAAAGAATCATTGTACACTAAATTAGCTTTGTGCAAAACCAAAACAAAAATACTATCCCATCTGGTGGATGATGGCACAAGCTTCTAAGAAAATTCTATTACAGCGAGCCACATTATTTTAATTGATTTCTTCGCCAGTTAGTCGTCTGTCACTTCGTTTGTACTATTAGGCTCGTTCGTCTTTAGAAGTTTAACGCACATAATTTCAAAGTTATAGCAATTTTTAAGCTACTAAATAGTGATTTATTTATTTATTTATTTATTTATTTATTTATTTATTTATTTGTCGTCAATCAGTGTAGACCGTTTTACAATTCTTGTCTTAAGTGCTATTTTTATAATTTTGTCTTTGTTTATATTTTTTATAATATGTCTTAAGAAAAAGTTAAAACATTACTTCTAGTTGACGTTATGCGACGAATTAAAATATTGCTTTAATTTAGTTTTTGTCATTGTAAAGTCAATGTTATCGCAGTGCTTATTATATGTATCCATCATTTGGTTCAAGGGTCCAAATTTGGCATAATTCGTACGATGACGATTTGTAGCAAATATATTTCTGTTTCGTAAATGCCTAGATGGTGTATATAAATTTAAGGATGACAATAGTTCTATTGAATCAATTCGATGT